ACAGTTCAAAATTAAAGGCTCAAATGCTGTACATGAGAGGTTAAGCTCCCCCTGGCAGTTTTACAAGGCGACGCCGGATAGTTAGTCACGTGACACACGTGAACTGCGTGATACCCCGGTGGGCGTGTCGCGGTATGCCGCGAAATACCTCACCCATTTTGAATGGCTGCATCTGTATACGTGTACTTATTTTTTAAAGAATCATAATTTTTTAAACAGCCAGTTGCTGTTTTATGCCCTTTCAGATTAAATTGAATTGTCTGTTCTTACTCAGCTCAATTTGCATTTACTCTCTAGCTCTGACATCTGCCTGTCAGATCTATACCATTGTGTGTTCTGTAATGAGCTTTACAAGAGAACTGATACCAATCTGAAGCTGAGCTTGTCCCTCCTTAATGTTGCTGTGAGCTTCTAGAGGTCACTGTTGAGCAATAAAACAAGACAATTCCAATAAGACGTTCTATGACAGAGATAAGTGTTTGACAAATTGCAGTTCACTGCTTGCAATATATTATTCAGAAGCACCCAATTACATTTTTTTACTTGTAATTTTTAACTATTTGAGAGATAATGTCACGAACCACATTCCTACGTTCACCTCTCGCCACCAACACTATTTTTATTTATACCCCTCACTCTACTGAGTCCCCGCTTACTATTGAGAATAACTTTAGGCTTTCTCTTGTGTGCGTTTACTACTCTCGACCTGAATTCTGGCTACTCAACCTAGTTTTTTCTCCGGCTTCAACTTCAACTGTTTTGGATTTGGATACTCTGGACCTGACTCATCTAATACCCGGCCTAGCTTTCCTACCGGGACTACGACTTTTGCCTTTTGCCCTTGCGATTTGGACACCAAACACTAGCTGCCTACAGTCTCAGTGTCACATAGGGTACAACCAGGTACTCTTAAACGACAGCCATGACAGATATTATCTTGTTTGCTTACAGTAAGTCTCATCAATTAGAAATACATGAAAACAGTTTGAGAATGTTAATGTTACACATAATTACGTAAAAGGGTGTGTGTTTATTGAGTCCTTTAGGGGTTCTTACAATGAGGTCTAGGCTGTCATCCAGTTTGGGAATCCATAGCCGTTGTGAATTGAGGGTTTGGTGAGCTACAGCTGTGGTAGTGCTATATACAGTATATGGCCTGTCTGACTTCACTAGAGAGACTTATGTTCTAACTCACGGAACAAGGGAAACAACGAGAAAAACGTATCCTTAAGTGCATGCACGTTGGTGGAAAAGTCTCCCACACCTGTCAGAAATGTGTATTCTGTGTGTTCTCATCAGTTCGAAATATGAAGAATATACTGTACTAGCATATAAAAAATTGGCATGATGCAGGCTGGTGGAGTGGCTGGTAACTATGGAAAAACTTTGTGTGTATGTTCGTGGGGCAGCTGGTGTTGTTGATTTTGATGCTACTGAGAAGCAGAGCAGAGAGGTAGTTTTGTTTGTAGGTTCTGCACCCAGTATGCTGTGAGCATTATTATGTCCCTGAAGAGATGAAGCTGAAAGCCAACACTGTCCACTGGGGCTCTGAGGGACAGCCTGGTGAGAGCAGACTCATAGACAGCAGAGGTTGCTGGCTGTACTTGCCATCAATGAGGCCAGTCTGAACAGTGGAGCAGCTATAGGTTGCAGAAACCTTATAGTGGGTTTGTGTGCTGAGGAGACACCAGAGAAGAGGGTGGATTAATGGCTGAGGGATGATGATCAAAGACATTCAGATGTTTTGGAGGTCTGGTGAGCAGGCTGTGTGTATAAATGGCATACAGAAGACAATAAAGCACTGGTGAGGCTCAGCTTCAGTCACCACCAATATGTGGTAGATAAGTTAGTCCCACTGCCTGGAGTGAAGACAGGGGAGGTGTGAATTCTGCTCTTGGCTCTGACAGTGAACCAGAGTGAGTAGGGAGAGAGCAGGGAGTGTGGCCAGAAGAACCCTGGCTGTGTTTCAGAAGAGTGAAGTCAGGTGTGTTGGAGAAAGAGAAGGACCCCGGCAGGGGGGAATTAATAAATACATATTAATCATTAGCAGATGTGCAGAAATGTAACACTTAGTATGAAAACTGTATCAAATGTAAGAAACATTTGAACAAAATAACTAGTGTGTGGTACTTTGAGGTGTCCCTGAGAGCTCCACACTCACTAGTAGATTGTTACTGTATTGGGTGACATCAATTTGAAACATGATAATTTTCTTACCAATGTCAGAGACTTTTGATCTGATTTCTTTCAGAACGTTCAGAACAAGATCTTCCATAATGCTCAGCTGATCTGCTGCCATGACGTAGACAAGACAGTGGGCCGTGTCGTTCACACTGGGATCCTTATTGTAATCTGGAGATTTATCACTAAGAGGTTTGATTGGATTGAACTGATAGAGAGAAAGAGAATGGAAATGTAATGAGCAAATACAAGTGTTTAATATCTCTCTTTTAATTACTCTTAATACTTTTTTTTTAATTCTCTTGAGACATGAGCTCCTCTTAAAACCTGAACCTGTACTCTTCCCCATTGTCACGTCTTCTATTCACCACATTCCCACACGTAAACGTACCCGCACTAATTACACTCCAGCACTGAGCATTTTGGCTATACGACACCGTCCCTGCAAATCAGCCAACCACAACACTTCCTCAATCAACACACCTTCCTCTTCGCACAGTACTTAAACCCTTCTGAACCCTCTGCTCTTCGCCTGGTATTGGTTGTACTTTAGTTCACCTGCCTCGCCTTCGTTACTCTTTGCCTTCTGATTCCTCGTTGCCTACCTCGGAACTCTCACCTCGACTTCGCCTATTGTCTCTCCCCTCGGATTTGGAAACCCACTTGTTGTTCTCCTCTTTTCGACCTTTGGATTTGCCTACTCGACTTTGACCTCAGCCTAGCCCCTCTCTGGTTTGAATACCCACTCTCTTGCCTTATTCCTCAAGGACCTCTGAACCCGACTCGAACTTCGCCTCTCGTTTTGCTCCTTAGGTACTGCATAGGGACCATCCTCCCATTCACTTAGCGGGTCAAACCTGACACCCATGGTATACTGGCCATATACACATGAAGGCGGCCTACTGCAAACTAGAATAGAGGCAGTCCTTTCTGGCTTGAATGTGCATCTTCAGTCTTGTAGGAGCACCTGATTAAATCACAAGGTTGTAGTGGAGTCTGCTACTTCTTCTGGACCTGGAACCAGCTACTTCTCCTATATCACTGAGAACAACCTTAACAATCCTAGACACCTGTTCCCCACCATCAATAGATTGTTCAAGACAAACCTACCTACTACATTATGGACTTCATACCAGCTTTGTAATTTTCTTAGAGTTTCTCTTAGTCAGAAGATAACATCTGGCATCATAGTGTTTCCACCAGCGTTATACTGCTCTACCTCCTCTCTGCATGGCGTTTGTTGCTGGTTCTCCCCTTTCTAGTTTTCACCCTATATCTACTTACTTCTTTTTCTGGCTAAAACTTTAGAATGTGCTGTTTAGTTTAATTCAGTTATATCACATTACAAATAACCTTTTCAAAACCTTCCAATTTGTTTTCAGACAATAACACAGCAGATGAACTACCCCTGTCAACCCTTGATCCTGAAGGGCTCTGTACTGCTCCCCCTACAATTCTGCATGTTCCCAACTGGTCAGTTATTAACATCACAGGATTTGAATGATCATTTCTGTTTAGATGATACTCAACTCTAAGTCCATACTAAAGCTCACACTGAAGTAGCTGTGTCTGTACAACTGTTTTGCTCTCACCTGGATTCCTATCATTATTAAAGTCTGTTGACAATGGGATGGGGATTCTGGTGACAGGGGCAGGGCTGAATGATCTGGAAGTCCCTAGTCTGGGCCTGCATGGTAGTGGCACAGGGCTATTGGTTATCAGCAGCTGTGATCTAAGTGAAAGCTCCTCCCAGCAGAAGCTGGTGTTTCTGAGAACTGGTTTTATGGACCACACCATCCTAGAAAAAGTGGGCCACACATTGTCCACTCGCACTTTCTTAGGTAGGCTGCGTCACCTACTGGGGCATTGAGCCTGATGAATGAAACCTTTACAGCAGTAATGTGTCAATATGACTAGCAATATGGATAATAAGGACTCTTTTGGATAGCAACTATGGC